GAGGACCTTCCACCTCCCGCATCTAAGATCCGGTCACATCCAATGTCCAGACTCCTGACTTAACGTAAACATCGTAAACAGAGTGTGTATGTTGAATAGTGTTGGTGTGTCTCTAACCCCCCTTTGGCTGGTAAATCTTCTAGTTGACCCGCAGACCTTACATTCCTCAGCCAGGACAGAAACTGACTCCCCATCCTGTCGGACTCGTGTCTGCCTGCTTGGCAGATCCTGCTTCCCCCTTACCTAACTCTTAAATCAAGACAAGACAGCAAACCCCCAACTAAGCCCATGAAAATAACTTTTGATTATCAGGGGCCTTTAGCCAAGACAGCTAACAGCGCAGCATCCAGCGGTGGGAGCGTCGCTCTCTCCTTTCTGCTCCCTTTGTTGCTGAGCGCGACATTTTGACGCTGCATACGTTGAATGGAGACTGCTCCCCCTTCCCCCGCCCCCCCCCCCCCCCCCCCACCGGCCAGGCGAGCCTTTCTCACTGCTTTTTACCAAATTCCTCCTTCCTGTGCGGTGAGCAGGGATGGACGAAGTGTGCAGGTTTACGTGTGCAGGGAGAGACTGGCGCTCGGCGTCTCCAAAGAACAGACACGGGGAGAAATGAAGATCTAGCAATGATGATGGAGACAATGATGTGGAAAGCGAGGGGAAAGTATACATGTTGCAAAAGGGGAGCACAACCATCAGTATGCTTACTCAGCACAACACCACCCGCTTATGCAAAACATAAGACGGTGGAGACGGGGGAGACGGTGGAGACGGCGAAGACGGGGGAGACGGTCAGGAGAAAGAACAAACAAGCTCTTCGCACCAAAATAGGCAGCAGCCAGGAGCTCACTGCGAGGCTGAACGGAGGAAAACAAGCCGAGAGGAGAGAAAGTACATAGACAGCGTGTACAGGTCCAGAGCAGTTGCCATAGAAACAGCCCGGTTAGTGAGCAAGGGGGCACAGAGAGGGTGATGATGATGATGATGATGGGATGCTCCGGGTGCTGATGCTGGATCAGGGGTGAGATCTAAAAAACGATGATGCGCCTCTGGGAATACACTCTCGACGCCGACGTCATCCAGAGATTCATTCTCTGCTGATTTGGTCTCACTCTCGTCTGAGCTGTTGTTGAAAAACGACATCCGCGTCCAAAGACTAATGGTTGTGTGCATATCGAAGAAGAAGCAAGGCAGCTGCTCTTTGGCTACGCTGAAAGAACCCAACAAACAGGTTCATTTGGGATATTTTCGATTCTTATTTGAATATGCAAATTTCCCTACGGTGACTCAGAGGCACTGGAACTTCCAGTTGTGCATCACCAAAAGAATGAGAACCCTCGATGCTAAAGTACACAAATCGCAAAGCTTTATGTACAGAGCTTACACACCTATCGACCCTTGCTACTGACCTGCTGTCTGAAAACAGGTGCGATATTTCTTTATTTACTTTGTTCCTTCACCAACCGACTTCACTGCGAGTTTTTTTTAAGCTGATAACAAAAGACTGATAATGAAGAAAACCTTTTTGTAATAGGGCAATAAAACAAAATTGGGGAAGTAACTTTATCTCCATAAAGACGGAGAAACGCAGACATATTCATAGGCCCTTCATACAAAACAATGAGATAACCCCGGCAGGAGCTCAGTAATGCCATATTGTAGATGGATCGCCGTATCAGACATCAGTGACAGAAGCAAACACAAAGAGCGCAACTGGAGGGCAACCAACAATGACGTAATGCCATCCAGGTCATTCATTAACTCCCTGCATAACGTCACCTGCGGCCGGAGCCCCGAGCGGACCGGCATAAAGCCGTCTCTTCGTTTCATACAATGAGGGGCGTGAACAGTTTGTATGGAGCACAAAGAATGACATCACCAGGGCCAGGGCACCGGGCTCTCGATCGAGAAAGGAAAGCTTTGCATCTGCCCGCGTTTGCACACTTTCTCTGCTGCGCACACGCGACCACAAAAAAGGGACTGCGGGTATTCAAGAAAACGCCGCCCACAGAGGGCGGCGTTTTCTTCAAAGTGTGTTTGAAATGTTTTCAAAACACTGCTGAATTAATTATTAATTATTTAGATATTTAGTGTGATGGGACTATTTCTTAACTAGTTTCTGTTAACTTTTTGATTTCTAAGACAAATTAGTTATTTTAAAAATGAAAGAAAATCACCTCAAATTTGGGGGTTTAAACAATATATCTATATATTACCATCAAGTGTGTTCCTAAAAGTTACTGTGTTAATTTAGTCTGTCCTATATTTAGTTCACCATTGCATTAGATAAAGAAAACCCTGCAAATCCTCAAATTATCTTGGGTAATGTTTGGTTAGTTTTATAGAAAGAAAATCACAATTCAAATCAAAATAGATGCAAATCAATTTGATGTAAATAGACATATCGTTGCAATTCTGTCAGCCCAATTTCAGCTAACTGACCAGAATGTAATCTGCAGGCCCTTATTCATGAACGTCTATGAGATGGACAGCGTTATATTTGAGTGGCTGGATGTGAATAATAAATGCGTTGGGTACAATGAGGGTTTGTGGAGTGACGGGCCTGGAGTGAGTATCACAGAAATGGGGGGTAGTGCAACTGTTACAGAGAGCATGTAATTTAGATAAATCAATTCCTGGTCAAAGCCCTGTTGGAGTTATCATCCTGTAAACAACATAACCTGGTATGAAGCAGAGTCCTTTAATCAATACTCACCCGGCTGCCCAGATTGCGGGTTCATATAACAAGCTGGGGCTGATATAGCACAACAACAATCACGATGAAAATAATACCATGAATTAGCTACAGTGCCTATAAATAGCATAACAATAAGAAATGGAAAATTCCTTCTATGTTTTATATTTTGTCTTATTTTTTTGTTCATCCTGCGCTATTGTGACCAATAAGGAGAGTGCGCCGCACAAAGAGATCGATGGGACGTTGCGGCCTGTTTGATGACGTTCATAACAGTGATGGAGGATAAGCGCTCATAGCGCACTATTACAAACCGACCCAGATTAGAATTAAGAACACGACGCATCGGGACAGCGGACAAAGCTTCCACGGGGGTTGCACGAAGCAATATTTTAAAAAACACACGTTTTGAATAGAGGTTCACTGCGCGTTTGTGTGAGTGGGGGAACCTGCCCCGTGTTGTTATGACGCGTGGATGTGGTTAGCACGCGAAACAGAACAATTCCATCGATCGGATCGAGCCGTCTGTGATGATCATGGGCAACGGCGCTGAAAATGGAACACAAAATGACGCGCAAACGCGAATTTCACTTACCGTGGAATGCGCGGAAGGGGGAAAAAAAGACGCCTGTCAAAATAGAAGAATCGATAACTTCAGCCTGGACGGGGTTTTAATTCCTTCAATAAGACGGGAGCGCGCATTATAAAAAAAAGGTGGCAGTGCGCGCGGACGGGCTTCTCCGCAGCACAGGCGCTGCTAACGCCAGCTAGCGCTGTTAGCACGCTCGACCACAACACATGTACACTCTATTCCTACGAAGGAACACACACGCACACACACACACACACACACACACCTCGAGCTCCAGCGGCTCCTGCGTGTTATTCAACTGGCCTCCACGTGTTGGAGGGGAGAGCCGCAGTGTCTCCATGGGGGGGGGTAGTTAAGAGTAATGGCTCTGACGGGGTGTGCGTGCGTGTGTGTTGGGGGGGGGGGGGGGGGGTGTTGTTATAGAAGGTGTACTTTAGCACTTTCTTGAACTAAACCGATGAGGTCATGGTTCAGAGAGAGGGAAAAAAAAAGGGAAAAGGACTATCAGCCAATCAGCGCAGGCGGCTCAGGGGAGAAGGCTCGGAGACTGCGTGACGTCAGCGTTGTGATCCGCAGATTAAAGGGACAGTCCGTCTTTTTAAAGGAGACGCACGATGACCACGCACGCGCAGTGTGTGGTCATCGGGGCTGCAATAACAATACGTCAGTCCCAGCGACAAAAACATACGAAGGCGTTTCAAGCAAGTCAGCTTGAAAATATGATTATTATTTTATTATTTCATAATGATCCCATACAATAATGTTGCTTTGAGTGGTTAATTTGCTTGACTCAGATTGCTGAGAAAACATACAATGGCTTTCATGTGGCACAAACAAGCCTGGCTTTCTCAAAGATATTACAACATCCAACGTGTTTTACACGAAATTAAAGGCTGCACACGCACCCACACAGGTGTTTTCAATTACCCTGGCTGATTAGGCCTTTAATTAGGTGGGAATTGTGTGAGGCCATGCTGGGATTTACGTTATTATAGTAAAATAAACTGTCCACCGCCTCACCCACACAGCTCACAAAGCCCTGAAAAAGCACATGAGTGAAAAGAACTTTAAAAGGACTTAAATAGACATCAAGAATATTTTTTTAAAAGCATTCTGTTTTATATTGTATCATAAATTAACATGTACAGCATTTGTGCTAACCAGTAACAAAACAAATGGTGTTGGACTTCAGTATCATGACTGGACCTTTTCAATTTTGACATGTTTTGATTGGAAAAGCACAGCTGATAATTATAACACTGACTGAGCTATTCTAAAGAGGCAACATGCCTCAGTCGAATGCATCACTATTAGTATTTAATCCAACTGCGCTATGAAATGTCAAAATGTCTTCCCCTAAACAGAACTAATCTCTTTTGTTTGATTGAAAGCCTTTGTTCTGTCACTCTGCCAACTGCACGTGTGAGCGAGCTGGCAGATGAATGCAGGACGAGCTATGGGCCCGATGTTTAATTATTTTGTATGTACTGACACCAAGTGGTAGAAATATTTAACCCCCCTAAAGTGCAGCAGTGCGTTTTTACCTATCCAGCTGAACACAAAGCCAATATAGCTTTGTCTTAAACGTCTAAATCTCAAGGTTTTACTTTAACTGCAGTCATTTGTTCTATTTGTTGGTGCAGTAACGACCTCAACCGGAGCAAAAGGAGCTTTGTGTGTTTGTGATAGATTCAGAGTCACTGAGAGCAACACAGATTCATGAAAATCTACCTTTATTTGGATGCAAAAACTCACAATTTAAAGCAGTACTGTAGCAAGGAGGAGGAATACTGATTGCTGGTTGGTTGTATGCCTGATAGTATGGCATATTGCGTCATCCCCATTTTGATCACCGGAGGAGGACCAGGTAGATAAGCAAAGAAAATAAGCTCTCAGTGTAATAGCTTTTCAATCGAGTACACTGGACTGGATTATCAGAGGATTACGTCGAAAAGTCTAGCAGAAGATTGTAGCTTTGCTTATGAATCCCAGTCTGTTTTCCCTTGAAAGATACTTTTGGCAGTTTAATTTGCTATTTGATGTCTGTAAATTGATCTGAACCCTGTGTGGGCTCAGATCAATGTACAGACAGACAATTTAACTGCATCCTCTGATAATGATCATAATTGTTGATTTGATGCATTGAGTCAAGATAGCAGATGTTGTTGACGTGATTTTTGTTACATAGAAAACTGTCTTCACTGTTTTAGCTGCCTTACACTTAGCAATTATTCCTCTTGTCGTCAACGGACAGTGGCCTTGAGTCACAGATGGAATCGAGTGGGGACTGCGTAAAAACTCAGTCTGAGGTAAAAATTCTCCAAGAAAAACAATAAAAACGTACACAGAAAGTAAAGCATATTAAAGCAAAGCCTACAGGCATAAAGTAATAATACTGAAGACTATACATAATCTAATTAATTTCTTCACCTTAAGGTAACTTAGGTAGTTGTCACATTTTGTTCTGTCAAATCTTGCAATATAAACCGATGGTTTGATCCACAGTATGAGCTACATTCCATCATGGTGTAAACAGAAATATACACAAGGCATCTACTCGAAAGGATTGTATCAAAATGTTCTAAAAATATCTCTGGTTGGTGTCACAAAAGCAAACTGTATCAAAAGCATCGGCCGAGAGCAAGCCATATAAGCAGGACAACCAATCACGTCGCTTTGATTGTGGACCTATGAAGTCCCATACAGCACATGCAATCCAATAAACCAAACACAATCAATACACGATACGAGAAAAAAAAAGAATGTTTACAGCTGAACATCCGAGACTAGCGTAGTCGGTCTATTGTGCTTCATACAGATTAGGTCTGGTCTGTCTATACAACAATCATGGGCTTCTTACTTCACGGATGTGTTTAAGCTACTGTTGAAAGCAGAAGCGTCACGGAGCACGTAACTCTTTTTATGATAAAAATTTGACATTTACAAGAAGATTGGCTGTTTTTTTTTGTCAATACGCGTGCGCGTTTTGTTCATGAAACAATTTGCTTTCCTGTGCATTACACTTGCCGGTGTGCACACGTCAGATCCTTCAGAGCTTTGTATTGATTTTGTTACGATGGTCTGGTTCTATTTCTGGCCTCTGTGGCTCCGTGACGCCTCTGAATCTATGTGGCCTTAATACAGGAGTCGTTTACTGTAAACATCATGGGCCACGAGGACTGCACAGGCAGGTATGGTAAAACTGTAATACAGTGTACTGCACAGAAATTCTAATTATTTAATTAATAACCTAATTGCTATACATTCCTATGTTCCATAACATTGCACATGCCTTTAATGAACACTTAGCACCATGCAACCTGAAGATGAGGTGTCTCCTGAAATCATCAAAATTTAAAGCAGGGCTTCTATCATGATTTTATTTTTTATTTTTTTACATTGAAAGTGAGAGTCAATGGGAGTGAATGAGAGGAGATGTAAGTTAACTTGAATTTACTAACAAGCTTTTTTGATCGTTTGTGTAGATTTGAATTAAGCTGGCGCTGATTGGGCCACTTGACACTAACTTTGGAAGAAGAAACTCAAATTTCCTCCTTAGAGCAAACTGACATGGTCTCAGTTCAAGGGTTTATAGTTTTTGTAACTTTTTGATAACTGTAAACACAGTATTTCAGGGCGCTAAATCGATGATGAGGTTTTGGTGATTTAGACACTTTTCTTTTTAAAAATAGTGCAAGTAAAATGTTGGTCTTGGATTATTTAGGGGCCTAACTGTTACAGCTCTCCAGGACTGTGCGGACCACCGAAGTGTCTGATAAAGATTTTTCCAATCCCATCTCCCTCCGTTCTGCCCAGAATGCACTTACTCTGCGTCCCGCCTGTCTGGGAGACGTCTACACGGTTTGGACTTGTTAAAGGGTGAGATTGAGATGATGCTAGGTAGAGAGGCGCGTACCGCCGGAGGAGGTACAGTGTACAGTAGTGTGTCTCGGTCCGAGTGGGGGCTGCGGCGCTCACTCTACTCCTCCGCAGCGTGAGGCAGCTGCTTCTCGTACAGGCTCAGGACGTGATGCACAAACTGGTACTGCTCGCACGTCTGGATCATCCCACCCCTGAGGAACACGGACGCGAGGGACAAACACACGAAATGGCTGGTTAGTCGGTCCAACCCGAGATCCTGTGCAGAAATTCATGGGCTATTCATTTAGTTTTCTTGACCAGACCATCCGATACAATAGGTGACATTCAGACTGGTCAAACACAATTAAATGGAATAAGGTTGTAATTTAGTTATTTGTTCCACTTGCTTCTCCTGCTATAAAAAGCTCCAAAGTCTATTATGATAGTGAGATTTACAGAGTAAAACTATTTGAGACATGAATACCACAGCAAAACATCAAATATCAAGGGCAAAACAGCAAAACTTTCACATTGTCCTGGTTATTTTGTTAAAAACTGAGCACACAACTTACTGTCGCTCTTGTTTTGAGCCCAGATCAACTGAAGCTATACGTTGACTGTTGATTCTTTTCTCACAACAGATTTGACGCCAAGAGCTAAAGAAAGACATGATCGTGGATAAGGGCTAAGAATATCTCACCTGTCCAGACGGAGCTGGCAGGTGGTTCTCAGGATGTCAACCACACCCTCAGTCCTCAGCTGCTTGCACAGGATGGAGGTGGCGATGAAGCAGCCGGTTCGACCGATTCCAGCACTGCAGACAGAATGTTAGACGGGCAAAAAGGGAAGCAGGAGGAAATAGATGCATCGGTGTATTGTTTAGCACACCATTCATTTCATTAATATCGTATCAAGTCAACATAAGCCTTTTGGAAAATCTCAACTCGTCATTCTCCTACACTGCTGTGAAAAAGTATTTGCCCCCTTAAATGTTTCAGATAATCAGACAAATTGTGAGATAAGACGAAGATAAGCAGAGTAAATACAAAATTCTGTTTTTAAACTGATTTAATTTGTTAATAAAACTACTTCTCCCTGACAAATGAACCTTGCAGGAGGGGCCGGCCTACCACAATTACTCCAAGAGTGCATCAACAACTCATGCAGGAGGTCATAAAAGACCCCAGAACAACAGGTGAAGAACTGCAGGCCTCACTGGCCTCAGTTAAAGTCAGAGTCCACGGCTCATCAATACGAAAGAGACGGGGCAAACACAGCATCCATGGGAGATTTTTAAGAAAAAGCCACTTCTGACAAAAAAGAACTCAAAAGCTTGTCTGACATCTCCCCAAAATATCCTGATGATCCCCCAAGCCTTTTGGGAAAAATAATCTGTGAACTGACGAGACAAAAGTTGATCTTTTTGGAAGGCGTGCGTTCCGTTACATCGGTAAAACTAATAGCATTTAAAAAAAATAACACTTCACCATCAGTCACACACGGTGGTGCTAGTGGGATGCTCTGCAGCATCAGGACCTGCACCACTGGCCATCATTCATGCAACCATCAATTAATCTGAATGGCTCAGAAGAAGCCAAATTATGTTTTTCGGTTTAGTCAAAGTCAGGACTTGAATCCATTTGAAATGCCGTGAACAGCCGTTCCTGCTCAAAAACCTTCCAATTTTGTAGTTAAAACACACTAAACGATCTACAAATGTACCTGCAGTGGACGATTATGGGGCCACTAGAGGGCGGGGCTTCCTCTCTAGCCCTTTCCACTTCCTGCACCAGTTCCAGAAGAGGCGGAGCCTTGTCCGGAGTCTTCTGGTCGGGCCACGAGGTGTACCAGTACTGCTGCAGGCTGCGCTCCTCTCCCCCAGACTGCCACACAAACACACACAGACATGAACACAGCCACACGAGACAGACTCACTGAGAATAATTGCCGATCAGCCTGTTGCTCTGCATGTGTACCCAAATTGTTACCTTGGAGACAACAATGAAAACAGAGCAAGAAACATTTTTTTTTTTTGAAAATGAGGGCGTTATAGTCCATTCCTCTATTTCCCGTAGTGGAATGCATGATTTGTCTCTATTTCCAGAGTGTCTGACAAGAAACATAAATTCATGAGATAAAAAACATTAACAAGCTTTTAACTTTGCACAGTTATATACAAATCCCCTGGTGCTTAGTAATCAGATGCAGGCTGTATTTATAGAATTATCAAGTGTGGCTTGATGCAATACCACACGGACTCCAAATTCCATGTAAATTGCTGTTGTGTTTTCAGTGGCAATGTAGGTTTATAGATCCACCACTTTTGTGCACACTGCAAATTGTTTTATGAATTGCAATGCAATTGTGTAGAAACATTCACAATCTATGATAAATCATAAGAACTTTGGTTGTTCTCTGACCTTTCTTCAAGAACCTCGAGCTATAAATTGTGAATTGTCTGTGTAGTTTGTTCCCACAGGTTTAATTTGTAATTTGTCCAAAGGATGCTTAATCAAGCGACAAACTAAGGGTCTGAAAAGAAACTCAATGCAGAAGTGTCTTAAACCTGTGTGCTTTTTAATAGGCAACAGGAAGCAAATGCTCTGTTTGCCAAAACAAGTCAAGAGTGAATAGAAGTCTATGAAAAATTATCCCACCGCTCACTGGATCACTCGATAATACTGGGCTTGTTGTGTCCAGTATTTGCCTGCATTGCGAGTTATGCTAAACAGACTTTTTGTGTGTTACCTTCAAAGTGAACACCCTCAGACTGTAGTCGTCCTCCTGGGTTACACTGTTGACAGTGATCTCGATGCCCTCATGGGTCACAGTATCCTCAGGCCAGTACTCTGCACATTTCTGCAAGGCACAAACAAGTGGATATTTTATACGCATGTGATCATCACCTTATATCTGTCCGTTTGTCCATCAGTGCATCACTCATTCATGCCGCACCTCGTTTTTCTCTTCCAGGTTGGTGATCATCACTACGATTGGGCTTCTCTCCTGCCACACCATCCTCCAGAAGTCCCCCACTGTGTTCACGGTGGGACCCTGGGTGGCAATGTAGGCACACTGCTCATCCCCATAGCCCTGCAGAGCGACACACGCACACATATGGCCAGTTGTATCGTACAATCACTTTAGCAGGACACATGGAGAATGTGAGGTCTTATCCACGGAGCATGAATAAAGTTGTGCTGGGCCAAGAGCTTACAAACACACATATTTTCACTTACTTTAAGATAATTAGCATTGATGTAAGTAGTGAGGAAATCGTCTTCATCCAGTGACTTCAAGATCACTCGGCTGTGTATATCTGCAGGATGATAGAGTGAGGTCACCATGAAAGAAAGAGAGATGTGTTTTGTGATTCAAAAAGATAACAGCAGAAGAAGATGATGTGATGATGCGTCTCAGTGAATATCAATACTCATACACATAGACCTTTTGCAAAAGCTCCTGAGGTAAATAGTTGATGAGCATGTGAAATTATTCAAGAAGCGGCTTACAAAAAGCCGTTTTCACAATATTTACAACCGCATGATGTCTTTTATCGACTGCGTTGCAGCCGTACTCACTGGGTAAGATGGTCTTGTAGCGGTTCTTTCTCACCAGCCCCGAGTAGTTGTACTCCTTAGGGTCCACAAAGTTCATGGGAGTTTCCTGCCAATGGACACAGAGCAATGGCTGCAATAACAACCAGTCCTTGTAGAAAACGAAGTGTCCTAACCCCGCCGTAAGAACCGTAAGGACATCGTACGTCAAACGTGACGACGTCCTTCACCGACCTTCAGAGTAAACGGCCGCTCTCTCTTGTGTGCGAGATGTGATTCTACTCGCATCCTTGTGTGGCCTTGAGAACATGCATCCTTCTTTGCCTCGCAGACGCTAGAATCCTCTGCGGGTTTTTTGTATGCAAATATGTCTCTATCTATCCTTCCGTCGCCCACTGACACGCAGTGGAAAAGCTTACGGGTGTGTGCAGCGCTCTGTGTGTGTGTGTGTGTGTGCATCGGTGGGCTCTGTCTATGTGTTTGTGTCAGCGTACATCTTTTCCGGTGAGTCTCAGTCTGTTGATCTAAAGTGTGTAGGCGGGTGAGCTGCCGTCGCTGTGCTCACATAGAACTCAGCCTGCAGGCTTTGGTCGTCCACGGCCCGTGTGTGTAGCATGGCGGGGGTCAGGCTGTTGGTTCCCTGTCGGAGGTACTCCTTGGCCGTCTGGTCTCTCGGGGAGAGCTGGCCTCCGTAGCCGTAGGGCTCAGTGCAGCCCGGTGTGCACATGTCCAATGTCAGGGAAACGTTGGAGCCCCTCCTGTGTGATACATGTTGAGTCATACCAATGCATTTAGCTGCCTCTATCCCCCGTATCCAAAAATAACTTGCCACAATAGCTCGCCTTGTTTCGCAGCCCACCACTGACCTCTCCTGAAGCCCCACCGGTGTGACAGTGAGCGTGGCGGCGTCTGCCTCCGTCTTGATGTCATTGCCTATTTCAAACACCGGCGTCTGGGGCACGGGGTCGATGTCCAGCAGGTCCTCCTGAGCGTCCGTCCACTCTGACAGGGTGAAGGAGGGCTGTCGGCTAACGGACTGACGCCGATCCCCAGCGTCCCGCCTCGCGGCCCCCGTCCACCACAAGCCAGTGCCGCTGCGCCACTTACTCATCGCGTTGTAAACCTGGACAGAGTACAAGTGGAAGAAAGCAGCGATTGTGTGTGAGCCAAGACACATCAAGCGAGCAAGAAACCTGCAAAATAAAGAAGTAAATAATCCAGCAAATGTATTTTTTTCTACAAAGTCGTCAGTGTTCTTTGAGTGACAATAATTGAACATCCACCATATTTGTCACATTTACATTACATGTCATTTAGCTGACGCTTTTATCCAAAGCGACTTACGATAAGTGCATTTCAACCATAAGAATGCAAACTCAAAAGAACAAGAAACAAGAAATTAAATAATGTAGAAAATACTGTGCATTTATAAAAAACAATCCCCAGTTTTCTTACCATGGTAGCGCAGATGCCAAAACCAATGACTGCAGTTCCATTGAGAATCCATTTGTGCTCTTTGTTGTTCACGACCTCCCTCATCAACATCGTGGTCTGATCGGTGCAAAGAGGAAAAGACAAGGGGAGAGGCAGTTAGATGCAACCACACTAGAGTCAGCAATCTCCATTTTTGAACCCTCAGTCCAAAAAACACAGCTCCATTGACTTACCTCCGTTCCAAAAATTGGGCAGCATTGTAAGATGAGGCCGAGGTAGAAGTCAATGATCTGCAGGGCTTTGAAGAGCGAAGAGAGAGGTCCATTTCCTTCAGCCAGAAAAAACACAGCGTACCCCTGGGAGGGGAGAGGAAGACAGACTGTCACTGTGAACTCACCTGTCATCCATGCACTGGTGATCAGTCAACACCGGGGATTCTCTCAGATGCAAAAGAACCGAGAAGAGAAGGAGACGCAGGCATAATTATGTGAAATTGACCCCATGCTGAACTAGTGTCATAATCATAGCTGCTTTTACAGCACTTATTATTCATTTTGCATCCCATTCTAGGCCTGACATTTCAGTTTGGCTTAGATTTGTGGATGTTAGTGGTCGAGATTACATGCCGAGTTGCAAACCAACGTGTGTGCAGGAGGGCTATCACATTTAATTGTAATCATACAGTGTTATTCACGTCACATACCGTGACTTGGGAGACGACGAATAGTGCGAACCAGCAGTTGATTTCGAGCACGATGGAATACACCTTTTGCATGAACACATCATCTGCCGGAGGGCTTTGGCCCCCCGCGGGTCCATCTAGGCTCTTTTGGTCATCTTTTTCAGGCTCTCCGTCGCCTATTTTATCAGTCTTAGTGGGCTCATCTAGCCAGACGGGGTCCTCGTCAGGCCTCAGAAAGATGGAGTCCTCAGTGTGGGAGCGGGTGGAGCTGTTCAACCGGCGGGTCATGATACCCCTGTTAAATGAAAAATATTCATGAACACACTGTTAAAATAAAATAAATATATAGTGTGTGATTTAGTTGTTTCATTAACGATGCTATTTCAATAATCAGCCATTGCCAAAGTGTCCGGTTCTCCCCCAGGGAGTTGGCTCTGTCTGCACTGTTGCCTTTGTTTGCACCATTTGGGCTGTTAGCACTGTTAGCGTAGCCATTGCCATGTTTTGAGCCGTGTGGGGAAAACCCATTAATCATTGATCTGCATCAACAATTGAAACAAGCACCTTTAACCCCATAAAAAGGGTGCAGTGCCGTTTTGTTTATTTGTCCTCTTGTGTACAAAATTAAGAAATATCCCACTTTAAATTGTCACGCAGAAATAAATGCAACCAAACTACGTGTTGATTTCTATTTCAATTACATGTTGCCTGTGTTTGTCACGTTGTGTTGACAGGTTTTGTTTTTTAAATGGCCGTGTACGTGACAGAGGGTCTTAATTATTCCACAGGCCTATTCAGATGCATAGCTAAGCGGCTTGGAGTGGCTCTCATCTCCGGATCCTCTTGTCTTCCTCGGATTGGACTCTATTGGATGAATAAGTGTGTGTGTGTGTGTGTGTGTGTGTGTGTTTGTGAGAGAGATGCTCTATTGTGAGAGATGAGTCAGGGGTAGCGTGTTTACGGCCCTGTCCGTCGCCTTGGCAACAGAGTAGCTCTCATCCCTCTCATTTGTCCCGAGCATTCAACTCGCACACACACACACACACACACACACACACACACACACACACCCACACACACACACACACACACACACACACACACACACACACACGTGCACACATACCTGTATCAGTCAGCAGTGTCTTCAAAGTCCTTTTCCGTCCTGCACTTTTGTCCTTCAACAATTAATAAGGGTGTTTTGTACATTTGGCTGATTATCGCCACGTGGTGTGTGCGGATGTGTGAATGTGGGGGCCTGTGAGAGTGGAAGTGTTAGTTATCACTCAAATCACTTTTGTCTGAATCTGTTGTTCGTGGCAAAAATGTTGACCTGTGAGTTTTGAAGTTTCTTTTTTTAAATCAATGACTAAGAACTAACTATGCAAATGACTTTCCAGTTGGTCTACTGGGATGGGAAAAAAACAAAGTCACATGACTCACCTATGATGGATGGCAGGAAACTGGTGGGAGTCAAATCACATGATCAAGATAAATCCTGTATCCCGTGGCAACCAGCCGTTGTCAGCCATTGTGTGGCGGAGTGAAATCTGAAGGACGGAAGACAGAAGCCAACCACTACATCTAATTTCTTCATAACTTGAGCCAGGCTAAGCAGACTCCCTCAGAAACACATTTAGATTGCTTCATTCAATTCAGTATGCATGAAGTCAAGCCTCCTCTCCTCCCCCTCACCTCCCCCCCTCCCCTTCTTTGCCGCTGGACCCTGTTGAACGAATGAGGTGAGCTCAGCGGAATATGAAACCACACCAGTAGCAGGAGATGCGTTTCGCTGTGTGTGTGTGTGTGTGTGTGTGTTAGAGAGAGACAGTGCAGGTGTGGACCAGCGGGGAGCTGCTTTCTGTCCCTTTCTAGCTCTCATTGCTTGCTGCGGAGGTGGTTTTGAAGTGATGACGCCAGTTAGCCCGCCCTGTAGTCATGGCAACGTGCATACATACAATGGACTAACACACACACACACACACACACATACACGAGGGATGGCGGCAGCGAAGATGTGGACCTCAGGCAACAAAACCACGATTGATGATGAGCCAATAGTATGATGGCGTGCAAATAATAAATTGGATAATTATATGTAATAATGATGATAATAATAAACCCTAGTCACGGATTGACCATCTCAATGACGCAGGTATCCACGGCATCTTATGCCCTGTTAGCAGCAACTGGAGAGAAGGAACTTCCTGTGAACGCATTGAAGCATCTGGCGGTTCCTAAAGCGTCTAAAACTCAGCAGGTGTGTGCGCACAAGCGCGTGTTTCTGGTTTATAGGGTGTGGAGACTTTCAGCTCCGAGGAGGCTGACAATGCGCCGGTCAGCGTGAGGGGTCTCCCGACCCTACACACACACACACACACACACACACACACACACACACACACACACACACACACACACACACACACACACACACACACACAGATTGGGTTGTAGAACAGCTGAGGAAGTTCCGGAGAGCAGTAACAATATTCAAGTTTGTCAAAAAAAAAAATCTCTTTGTTTTGATTCTTTGAGGTAAATATTTGAGCTTTTTCTGTTCGCTGTGGCTGTTAAGTGCTAGTGGTGAAATATTGGGTACATTTCCCCAGGACTGTAGCTTGGATTTTACAAACACATGATTAAGATCTTTTGAAAAGACACCGGAGATGAACGGTCTACCATTTAATCTTGTATCCCAACATGTGTGTTGTCTCTTCCCCCTGACAGGAACTCTAGATCTGTAAGTAAGAAATCAATTCTTATGTACCGAGTTTGCAGAATTCATATGCAAAAAAATAATAAAATCACAAAATAAAATGTGAAATTCAGGAAATAATACTGAGGATTTTAGCTTGGTGTCTTTAATGAGGCTCTGAATTTAACCCTTCAAAAACTCATTTTCTCTAACACAGTGTTTTTCGACCAGTGTTCAAAAAAGTGAGATTCAAGGTCGGCGCATGTTTCTGCGTCGTTGCGTCGTCGCACTCGTTTCACTTCATGGTTCTGCGTGTGTTGCAGAGCAATTCACCTCCAGAACAACAAGCATGGTGACGTGTTTTGTTGAAGACGACCTAGAGAGTCACGTCTATTTATTTGTTTATTTATTTATCATAGACGTTATTGCCCCGTGCATCGCCACTGCTGCTTTTCATCAAGGACATATTTGTCCCGTATTTTCCTCCACAACTTTGTTCCTCTCGACCGGCAAACCGGCGTCTGCGGCGATCTCCCTCCGTGAATCCAACCCGTTTCCACAACCCGCCAATGACGGCTTGTATAAGCGGTCATATTTACGCATTTCTTCCGACAAAAGTTCTTCAATCTGCTCCGTTCTCTCGTAAACATTCTTCGTGTTAATAATGGCGGTATCGGGCTATGAAAGCGGAAATGTGAGACTCCGTAAAGGACGTAGTTAGCGGACCAATCGCAGCCTGGTGCGCTGCGGGAGGCTGCGTCGCTTTCGACTCAAGCCTAGAAAAATGGATGATGTTAAGTTTAATAAAACACAACAAATAGAACACGCATTTCCCTGATTTCTTAGAGTATATTATGCTCATGCTGAAACTATGTTTGGGATTGATTTTCATATCGTTTCCGGTTGTTGGTGTGCCGTGAGATTTTTTCTGTGTCTTAAGTGTGCCTTGACGCAAAAAAGGTTGAAAAACACTGCTCTAACAAACCAAGGCTCATTTGTACACAAATATTGTACACATACTCGCCGTTTAGACCCTGTCGTTTGTTGGGGAGATCTTTAGTTTAATGATACATAAACTCCCCAGAATCAGAACCACTGGACCAGAAAGTGCTGTTTGCTGACAACTGTGTGAGGCTCTGTTCCTGCAGTTTCCATTTGATGACAGCTGTCTCTTGTTTTAATTTACATTCCTGAGTAAACATCCATCTGGAAATCTGTGCCTAAATCTGGCAACCTTTAAAAATGTGCTGGATGTGTTTCGCTTTAGGTCCCCAGCGACACAGCAAATCTACAGCAGCATTTCCTGTTCCCGGGTTGCTCAAAAGCGCGTTGAGGTTGAAGCATCGAGCGCGTTGCCAAAGTGCTGAGTGTGGCAGCGGGGACGAGGTAAGAGGAAGCTCTTACTGAAAAGCGATGACGGGATGGTAACTTAAGATAAAGTCAACGAGGGCCGAGACCTGCCTCGTCAACCCGTTCTCCGTCATACATGCTCACACGGGGAGAATCCCGGCATCAATGCACTCAGCTCGCTGTGGCCTTTGGAGCCCGCAGCTTCCTCGTGTCCACCACAGAGACAGATGATCCATCAGCTCTATTGTTTACACACACTCCTACAATCTCCCACCGCAGCCCCCCGGGGGGGCATTTCAATGAGAAACTGTATTAACACTTGGAGAAAACTCACAATTCAGTCAAAGCAATACAGTATGAATGATTGAAATGTGCTACCTTGGGGGTGGGGGGATGATACACAGTCTGCAGAACATACATCTGGATTCCTGGTGACAAATAATTGCCGTTACGTGATTGCACTGCATCGAAACACCAGCGCAGGAATTGCAGTCATTCATGCTGAGGCAAAAACTCCATTCACATCACGTAGATGGCTACGGAGAGCTGGAGCGACCACACGGTGCAGAGCGGGGCGGACCAGTAGTGAATCACCCAGGGAGGTGGACTGTTGCATCTCGCTCCGGTGACTCCGTCATTGTCACAGAGACACGATACACAACGCAGAGGGCATCCAGCGCTGAAGAATAATAATTATATACGAGGGAAGAAGCAACCTGTTGGCGAGTGATGAGTTCTAACAATCAGAAAACGAGACCGGAGCACACAGAGCATCCCTGCGTCCTTACCTTCCTTTTTCGCAGCCAGAAAAAAAACGCAGCAGCCACATGAACAGCGGGGGCTTCGCTGAGAAATTGGCATTCACCTCGTGTCGCACAGCCACAGACGGGGGGGGGAGGCAGAGACAGAGGGAGTAGAGGAGGGCTGCAGCCGTCACTCACCCCGAACCGTTAAGTCTGGGTTGGGATAAGTCCTCTTACCTGGCCGAGCCCGTCTTCAAATCACCATCTGCCGCTCTGCTCCCTCTGAGCCAAAGACCAGGAGCACAAACGCCGAGGACCACGGCAATCCCTTCACTGCTCCCCCCTCTCCCCCCCCCCCTCTCTCTCTCTCTCTCTCTGTGGGAGAAGAGAGGAGCGTGTTTGCGTGTGAGAAGGACACAGGCCGACGCTGAGGGGCAGAGGACGTGCGTTTGGGGAAAAAAGCAGAATCTGAGAGTGAGTGTTTGCGTGAGGAATGAAGCGACTGAAAGGTTTTTCTTTTGTTTGTGTCCTGGAGGAGAGAGAGAGAGAGAGAGAGAGAGAGAGAGAGAGAGAGAGAGAGAGAGAGAGAGAGAGAGGGAGAGAGAGAGAGAGAGAGAGAGAGAGAGAGACCCAGGCGGCGGCTTCGTCTAGGTATATGCAGCAAGAGGCTGTGCGGTAGCCTTGGCAACAGAGCCAGAATGAGGGAGAGCGAGCACGGGAGCTGGAGGGAAAGAGGGAGACTGTTGTGTGTGTGTGCGTGTGTGTGTGTGTGTGTGTGTGTGTGTATTAATCAGATTGTAGGCAGATAAATATGTTCACACAGCCACATTACCGGGTCTCGCCTCCAAAGGATTCCTCCCACATGTTAAACAATTACATTTTTTTTTGGGGGGGGGGGGGGGGGGTGTTATTCAGCATTTAATTATGGTCAACAAATCCTATAAAACCACAGAATCCAACAACAGCTGTATCCTACTAACAAGTAGTGTTGTGTCACCAATATCATAGTCCTCATAGACCACAATGCCTTATAGTATGGTAGGAAATCATTTAACTGTATTAAAAAATAAAACTATATATTTAGTAGATGTTTTTTTAGGGTTTTTCAGTTGGAAGAAATACGTTTTGGGTTGAGAGTCAAAGCCGAATTGGTGTTTTTGGTCTTGACACTGGATTCGCCCACAATAAAAGGATGTAGAACGTCGCTCATCCGTTAAGGTAAGTCCTTCAGTCCGCGTCCTCGCATAAAACACGTGAGTGTGTAGAGGCATTGGAGACGATTCATAACACATCACTGAGCAGAACACATCCCCCCCCCCCACACACACACACTCTCTCACCTCCTCTGCTTACAAGTTAGAAACTCCTCTTTCTCACCACAGCAGAAAACAGTCGTCTTATCTGTTATCTTGTCATATTATTTATTAGTTTAATCTGTTACCATTACCATAAAGCCCTTGTTATGTACGGTGGACAATGCACTTATATGGGGATTCTGTTGTACATGAGTGTACAAAACATATTTTAATTAAATAAACATTCATATTTGCTGACAACTAATGTAACTAATTAAATAGTTCATTGAATGGCAGCTGTGGTGCAGTGGAAGCCGGCGATCTGTGAACACAACATACGACCACATCCAGCACTGGACACAGAGCAACGTTCATTTGAGGTCTGCAAAACTATTCACGACACTCAACAGCGTTGGCGTCTATTTGCTGGGCGGATGGTGGCAGCTCTTTGGCAGATATTGTTTTTCCAAACAATAAAGGAGGTGCTGGTGGGCAGGGCTCCTTTATGTTAAGCTAAGGTGATAAACTACTGGCACGCGCTGCAGATGTAACGTAGAGACATGACAGCACATCCAATCTCATCATTTAACTTCTAACTCCAACAGGTCTGTGGACGATGCTGTCAACATGGCCCTCCACTACATCCTCCAGCATCTGGACTCCCCAGGAACCTACGCCAGGATCCTGTTTGTGGACTTCAGCTCTGCCTTCAACACCATCATCCCGTCTCTGCTGCAGGACAAACTCTCCCAGCTGCACGTGCCCGACTCCACCTGCAAGTGGATCACAGACTTCCTGTCTGACAGGAAGCAGCACGTGAAGCTGGGGAAACATGTCTCAGCCTCTCGGACCATCAGCACCGGTTCCCCTCAAGGCTGCGTTCTCTCCCCTCTGCTCTTCTCCCTGTACACCAACAGCTGCACCTCCAGTCACCAGTCCGTCAAGCTCCTGAAGTTTGCGGATGACACCACCCTCATTGGACTGATCTCTGGTGGGGACGAGTCCGCCTACAGGTGGGAGTCTGACCATCTGGTGTCGTGGTGCAGTCAGAACAACCTGGAGCTCAACGCTCTAAAGACAGTGGAGATGGTTGTGGATTTCCGGCGGAACAGAGCCCCACCCTCCCCCATCACCCTGTGTGACTCCCCCGTCACTATTGTTGATTCCTTCCGTTTCCTGGGCTCCATCATCACCCAGGACCTCAAGTGGTTCAGCTCCCACTTGAGGTCCTGGGTGATGATGGCTCAGCAGAGGTTGTTCTTCCTGAGGCAGCTGAAGAAATTCAACCTACCAAAGACGATGATGGTCCACTTCTACACGGCCATCATGGAGTCCATCCTCTGCTCCTCCATCACCGTCTGGTACGCTGCAGCCACAGCCAAGGACAAGGGCAGGCTGCAGCGTGTCATCCGCTCTGCAGAGAGGGTGATCGGCTGCAATCTGCCGTCCCTGCAGGACTTGTTCGCTTCCAGGTCTTTGAAGCGAGCTAAAAAAATCGTGGCCGACCCCTCTCACCCCGGACAAAAACTGTTTGTGCCCCTTCCATGTGGCAGGAGGCTGAGGTCCATCAGGACTACGACCTCCCGCCACACGAACAGTTTCTTCCCATCGGCAGTCGGGCTCATCAACAGAGCCGGTCCCCCACTGACTGACTATAACACTCCACCGGTCACTCCCCTTCACACTGCACATGCCACTTTAACTGTCATTTATCACTTTGTCGTCACTCGTCACTTTGTCACTTGTTCGTTAGTGCACTTTATGCTTAATATCTTTTAAATTTTTTTAATATTTTAAATTTTTAACTCTAACTTTATTCTCTTGTTTTATACTAACCCATAGCCTTATTCTACTAACCCATTGCATTAGCATTTCATTTTACTTTATTTTATTACTTGTGCACTGCTATCTTGTTGTCTATTGTTACACTGTCTAATGTCACGCACCATCCGCCAAGACAAATTCCTTGTATGTCTGACATATTTTGGCAATAAATGATTCCTGATTCAATGACTTGAAGCAAATACATTTGCATGTATTATACATTGGAATTGCATGTATTATACATTGTTCATTCTGTACACATGGCATCCATTGTAGTCTGTCTGTTTTTCCTGTGCCGATGGTGGGTTTTGGGGCAGAGGATGTTGTATGTGTACAGACTGTAAAGCCCTCTGAGGCAAATTTGTAATTTGCGATTATGGGCTATACAAAATAAAATGAATTGAATTGAATTGAAATACAAAAATTGCAGTGAGGTCCTTTAACTAATGACTATTAATCTATCTATGTCCTCTTATGTCTTCACTATTCATGACCCACTTCAGAATCCTATCCTCTCCTGCCATATATCTCTCCCACACAGCCGCTCTTCCCCCGCTCCAATCAACTAAGTAACATAAACCTGATACTAAACCTACCAGTCGCACCGAGGAGCAGCTCCGCTCATTTTGTCCACTTTCACCTCTGGCAACGGCAATCGCTTAACGAAACAAAGAGCAGAAGCTCCTGGATACTTACAAAACCAGTGGGATTATATTTTATTTTAGATAAAACAGGCATTTTTCAATATTTTTGACTTCCTCAACGCTACGCGAGGAGGCCTACCAAACAAGATAAGCCTGAGCCTGTGCTACAGTGCTAAAGGTAATTAGCAGAAGATGCCTCCCTTCTCTACGGAAGATTACCACAAACTCGTACAGAAGATTTTACTGCTGGAAACAAAAGTTAATCGGTTAGAAGTAAATGTAGAAGTAAATGGACCATGTGGGAACAACACCACTCTAGCAATGACTCAAAACAGTGGACAAGAGCATGCTAGAACCCAGCTAACTAGCAATGATGGAACTATGAAGAAACTGGAGGACTATGTACAGGGTAATAAATCTACCAGTGATAATCCTCCCTGGACCACACGCCAAAGAGAAGACCAGACAAGGGAGAACGGATAACTGGCAGGACGCAGCGACCCGATAGCTGTGATCTGGCCGACTGGCCTGCGTTACCATCCAGGCATAATCTCCTAGAAACAGTCAGCTCTGTGATTGCTGAGGTGTTTGTCAGTGGTCCTCTGCCCCCGACCGGGAGAGGAGCTGAGAGATTCAGTAGACTGTTTTGGCTCAACAAATGGCTCTTAACTGCATGTGCAGTTCGTTCAATGCATTCTATCAACAATTTTAGCTTTTTCTGGGACCGCAGGCATCAATGGAGTTGCCTGAATAAGATGGGAGCAAAGCTTTGGTCCACCTGCACCAGCTCATCTAAGCGGTGACGCCATCTCAAGCCGATCTGCCCCCCCACCTCTAAGAAGACGTGCTCCACCTCCACCTCCACAAATCCATCCCAGCTGTGACAGTGCTCACTCCCCCCCTTAGGCCCACCCCCTCCTCCTCCTGACCGCAGCCCTGAATATTACTGAGATAGAAAAGGGTTCAGCAGTAGACCGCATTATCATCTGGACCCAAGGTCGCCTACGTCAAAACATGGCACCTTCGGCATTCCTGTTGTGACCACCAAGAGAGTGAACATTGCGAAACTTAGACACACTGCTAATCTAACAAATCTCATTCCTATTCTCTCCAGCTCAAAGTCAACCCCAAAGCCTGTGAATAACACCATCAGGATGGCTCTGCTTAATGTTAGGTCTCTTAATAACAAATCGTTTTTAGTCAATGATTTTATTACCACTTCTAAACTTGATTTTATGTTTTTAACTGAAACATGGCTAGAACAAAATAATATATTTAAAAATATATTTCAGGGTAAACAGATGTCACTTAGTGATTTTCCATCATTCGAATATCTTTGTGTTGTATTGAAAGGTTCTCCCAGAGTTCTCCTGTTACTTATTTACAGGCCACCTAAATATTCTGCACATTTTTTCGATGATTTTACTGAATCATCTCTTACATGAATCATTTTACTGTCTAGCATCTCTACCGACTTTGACTGTCTAGTTATAACTGGTGACTTTAATTTTCATACTGACGATTTGAATGACAAGGGTGCAAAAGAACTTTTGACTATTTTAGCATGTGAAAGAGGCTACTCATTGTAAGGGACACACCCTGGACCTGATTATCACAAAAGGTCTCATTGTTTCGGATGTTTTTGTGACTGATCCCTCATTGTCTGACCACTTCTGTGTTTTCTTTAATATTTCTTTCATTCCTGACACACAATCAAAATCAAATACTGTCAAAAAACGGTACATCAATGAACATACTAATGTACTCTTTAAAAATGTCATCTCCTCGT